TCTCGATGAATTCTCCGGCCCTCTCCACGAGTTTTTGGAGACTGTCGCTGGCTTCAGTCTCGAGCTTCCGTCCCTTGACAGTATCCATTTGCTACCAACTTCGGTCACGCAGTCGTGATCTGTCGATTTTCACATCCGACGAACGGAAAACTTATAATCCTGCTCGAGCGCTTCCAAAATGCGGACTTGGCGAACGAAAATGCGGATAAATCCTCCCCCTCGTCCTCTGCGGCCCTTTCTGCTACGACTATCGCGTACGATAAGGTCACAACGACCAGTGCGACGGGTCTGGACGACAGGGCCATCATCCAGGTCCCCGCGACCCTCCAGCGACGGATCGATTTTAGCGCCGTGCGCCCCACGATGCACCACGCTCTCGGTATGGCGAGCCTCGTGAGGACACGAAACCGCGAATACTCTCTGAAGATCGCTCTTGTATTTTCTTCGCGGAAGCATTCTGCGAGGGGATGGTACAGACATTCGGCGGGCAGCCGGAGAACGAGCTAGTGTGGCCCCTTCCCAACATGCTGGCCCTCTGGAACGGGTGGGCCGAGGAGATCAAAAAAAAATCATAAAAATCTATCCCAGTTTCTGGGCGGAGCATAAAGCATTCATCGTACGTGTTTGATGCTGTACACCATTTTTAGTGCTCATAAAAGTCGGCGCCATAGGAGAGGAAGCAGAGAGGTGCCAAAAAGTCCGATTTTTTAGTAACGCCGTTAGCTGATCCACTATTTTTAGGCGCACCAGGCCTGCCCCGCGTCAACGAAGAATCCTTGGGCATTGAGGAGGGGTTCTCATACCTGTTGGTTGAATGAGGGGTTGGATGGGGTCGGTTTCACGCGCTGGCTGCTTACCTATTCCTCCTATTTATTTCTCCGTTCCCTTTGTCCGAGGCTATATTATCTTTTTACCGAATGTAACCCTAGTCCATGTAACGTGTAACACGGTCCTCCAAACTGAACACCGGTAACGGTAACATCGAAATTTCGTGGACCAAATAGGGCCCAAACCGTCAAAATGATCGCAGCGGCATTTACCGAATTCCCTTTTATGGCAGTTTTCCCGTGATTGAAGAGAAATGAACAGCGGTTCCTGGGGTAGCCGGGGCCGTAGCCCAATGGGGACATCAATTGAACGTAAACGCGTTGAAAACCTCCTCCTACGGAAATGACCTAAGAGGGGTTGCCGAGTAAAATCGCTGTCTTAGGTGCGCTTGCGGCCATGTCCCAATCGTGTGGGGCAAAAATACCCAAGTTACGGACGTTGAACGTGGAATTGCCGGAGGACTATTGTTATTCTCCGGAAGGGACCTTTTCGATCAAGCTAGGATCCCTCGTATCTCCCAATTTCAATTATATTCCTTCACTTATATCGGCCCCTTGTTCAAAAAGGGGACCTGGCTGGTCTTATCCAGGCCCAATCCAGGCCCCTGGCTGTGCTTCTGGTGTTAAAATTGCTGAGGCGATGAATCGGTTGTTGCTACTCCTGTCTGTTATTCGCTTCCTCTCGTCTCTCATGTGCCGACAGCAGCCTCCTCCGAAAAACATTTTCGAGAACACCGGGGGCGGCGTACGCCGGCGCCAGTGGTCATCGTTTGCTGATACAGCCTTCCCGACCGCCGCCTCGCCGCGGCCCCTGGACGAGTATATCGCTCTCATAGAAACACTCCAGCTGGATTCAGAACCCGTTCTGGAGAGTGTATCATACTACCGCTACCTCGCACCCTTCGGCCACGCCCTGCTCCTGTGCCGTCTGCGCCATCCGGTGTACGGGCCTATAGCACTTTTTTTGCAGCGGTGGGCCGACGGGTGTAACATGGCGCCCGCGTCCCCGGACAGCAGCCCGGAGGAAGTAACGGTGATCTGCACAGCGTCCGCTGACGCGGAACTCATCCAAAAACCGCATCTACTGTGCCGCACGATGACGTTCCCGGACTCCGAGTCGTCCCCGCCCACCCTCTATGATCTCCTCACGTTGGCAGACGTGGTGCGTGTGCAGAGCCCAATCTATACGCTCGACAACATCCCCTGCATCTTCTTCGCCGAGACGATCTACACGGGGCTGGAACGCCTGTTCTGCGGCGAAAGTTGTTCGAAATCGAAAGAGGGGTCTCCAGATATTCAAAGGCCACTTCCGCTCCTCATGGCCGTCTCCAACGATTACGAAGACGAGATCAACAAGATCATCTCTGCGTTCCGCGTGGGAGGAGGGAGTTCGGGGAGCGGATGGAAAGTGGGTTTGTTTTGTTTGAATGGGTTGTAACCCCTGATACATGATCGCTCACGAAAAAAAATGTAGCGCACCGTCTCGAAAACTTGAGGTGGGAGGAGAAGCTGAGAGTCGCCGCAGGTGTAAGATCACCGCCTCGCACCCAACGCGCTTGGGTTCGCGCTCAGGGTTGGTTCTGGGCTCATGCTGTACCCTGCTTGCTGAGTACTAGAGAACATACTACCGACTAGCCAATTAACGTTTGCTGTTCTTGAGCTCCTCATTTTTGGCGATGGCGGTGTAGTAAGTTAACCCCGATCGCGGGTCTGCCAAGATACTCTGCTTCCCCTTGTGCTTGAGTTGCTGAGGAGATTAAATGCAAGTACTTGTTGCGGAATCAAATGAAGAACTTGAAGTGACGAACTATGAAAAATTCAAAGAGAACCAGTCGCTACTACTGTAGCATTTCATTCAATTCGTATGTCACGCGTCCGACACGGCGGCCAGAATATCAAATTTTCGTACATGTCACCACGGGTCCAAAGGAATCTTCGAATATCCAAAAACAAGTCACAAAATGGGCGAGAACTCCAAAAAATCAATTTTTCGCGTGCGCACGGCGCGTACAGTCCAAAACGCCGCGGCAGTCTCGCGGAATGTTGATTTGACGTGATTGGTTGAACGTGTAATTTTGCTTCTGCTCGTTGAAGATTCTCTCACGCAATGCTTCCCTCTTCTCAGTTTGAGCGGTCTACTGCCCTGATTTCGTCTTATTCCTACCTCTCATGCCAGACTGCAGAGGCACGGGTGCATGCCCCCGCCAGGCTCCCCGTTGGTAGTACCCGAGCCTCTGCACGGCCAGAATCATTACACCAACATTCAGAACCATCTCTACTTTGACCTCACCGTTCTGTACTCTCTGGACGTTGCCAAGTGCATCAACCCAGACTCGAAACTGCTTGAGGAAGAGCCAACAATTGACGACGCCTCTAAGACGGAAGAGGGGTTATGGGGACTCGTACACGCGAGTCGGGCAGCCCCTCCAGTCGACATCACACTACTGGCGTAGCTTGACCCTCCAGGCGGAGGTGGCGATTATCGTCGTGGGTGGTGTCCCTCCAGCGCACCCTATCAAACACTACCTGTCGCCAGGAGCCCTAGCGCCCATCCTCCGAAGCGGGGCTCAGGCTGAAATGCCTGAAGGGTTCCCTGTTGCCCAGCCAATATTCACCGAGGAGGCGCTCACCAATAAATACGTCTGCCCGGTTGATGCAGGCTGGGTCGACGGATCCCTTCCACCTCCGCCAACAGTTCATGAACATAACTCGGTTGCGATGGCGGGATCCCCACCCGACTAAAGACTATCGCGGAGGAAATTATGCGGGCTTGCTTTAGAAGAAGAAGGTTGTCACGGAAGAAAGAGGAATCTTGCCGGTTGTTGAGAGAGGAGAAGGGGGAAATGGCCAGCAACCATTTTCCGCTGCTTCTTGAGTTCTCAGTTGTCGCGCTCGTGATTCAAGTACTTATTGAAATTGTAAGCTGTCTTTTAAATGATAATGATGCCTCGGAGAAATCGACGGGTGGTAGAAGCTGGAATGGAAGGCAAAAAAATTGGCCCTAGATTTATTACCTCGACCACGCTACCGTATAATCGACGTTAATCGTGTGTTGTCGGGGGCTCAGACAGACTATTGAAGTTGGTTAATTGAAAATAAACCCTGGCTACCGGATGTGCTCCAATTGTGCCACCATAGTTTTTTTGTCCCGAAGGTGGCGCGAGGAGTCAGTTTTTAGGAGCGGCAGGCATGAGCGGGGTGTCAGTGGGGAAGGTCAAGAGCCGTTCCACAGACTCGGACTGCGGCAAGACTGCGGGTGATGGTTTTCCTGTTCGCAAAACTTTTTTCCCCAAACCTCAGAATCTCTCTATACATGGCTGCATGCTAGTGAGTATTAGATGCCTATGATCAGTTCTAATGGCTAGTTATTCGGTGGAATCAACATCGAACCCACATCGGACCCATCAGCCGACGCCCAGCTGAACTTGAACTTCATTCCATTATTATTCAGGGTCCCGCCTCTTTCACGCACAGTGAACTAAGATCGGGCTTCTCATAAGGACGGTAGCTGCAGAGCGCACATGACGGCATGTCGTTGCCCGAAAAAAAAAATTACCTTCCCCCAAAAATGGCCAAGAAAAAAATCGGAATATATACCTGGAGATTTATTGAAGCTAGAGGGGCGATGTGGCAGAGCGATTCAAAAAGGCCTGAACCGCGAATTGAACGGCGGGACCTCTCCGCTGTGTGTTTGATAACTTTTCTCAATGCCAACGCATATATTTATGGAGAACCCCGCCAAGACGACAAACTGTTCAGGTTTTCCGTCATGACGCGCGCATTCATCACCCTGGGATATCAAATTAATTTTGAGGACCTTTTCATGACAAGGCCTCTGAGATGGAAATTGGACACGGACTACAAGTGTTCCGCCCGGAAGCTGGCGAGACAGGCGCGGGTTGGAATCGGTTGGTTGTGCCAATTCCCATCCCATCAAAAATGACAATTCCACTGTTTAAACTTTCGAAAACGATATGAAGTTCCTCTGCGTTGTCCCCGGGTGTTGGTCAATATAAGCAGCATGGGTTACTTGCGATATCTGAACACAGAAAGGTCCGAAGAAGCCCCAAAATCGAGAAATCATGGGGTTTTTGATTTTTTTTTTGGAAGGCTTGCGCACTTCTGGACTGAAGTGGAGGTTAATAGAGACCTCCGGGGTGCAAAAGAAAAAAAGGCCCGAACCGCGAATTGAACGCGGGACCCTCCCTTCGAATCAGGTGATTAATTGGGCAACATACCCTAACAAGGATAATCATACGACTAGACCATCCGGGCGATGGAAGGTTGAGCACATGGCTCTCCTCAACTCGCCTTTTCGTACCGTTCAACCATATCGCTTGCTTATCAGTGGCCACAACTTCCCCATGATCCACGAGGACAGTTATCTATGTATTTGTTTCCCACAAGAGAACACCGAACCAACAGGCTTTGGCTGTTTAGTGATGGGCAATTCATACAAACTGTTGACATTTAAATTGAAGCCATAACGAGAACCGGGACTGACTGAATGGAGCAGTCAAGGAGATGCATGCAGCCTGCAGGCCCTGTTCGGCAGGTGCAACCCTCCAGAACCCGAACGCTGACAGCGCCGCTAACATAAGCTCAAGAAGTCAGGCCTCTCAAGCTCCCCCCCCTTTCACCTCTACCATGAAGTAAGTTTGTCATCTCCCCACTTGAGTACTACAATACCAATCGGGTGCCCCATGGCCAGAGTCGCTGCAATCCAAGCCGAACCCGCCTGGTGGGACCTCAAAGCCGGCGTCACAAAGACCATCTCGCTCATCAAAGAAGCCGCCTCCAACGGCGCTGAACTCGGCTTCCCCGAGTCGTTCATCCCGGGCTACCCGATGGCTATCTGGGCGCGGCCTTTCGACCCCGCGTTCCTGGTCCAGTTTCAGAAGAATTGTCTTTCGGTGCAGTCTGAGGAATTCAAGGAGATATTGGCGGCGGCGAAGGAGGCTGGGATTTGGTTAGTATGTTTCCACAATTCATATGCCGACTTTCCGGAAGCGAGGAACGCACTGGATTGAATTCATATTGACAACGTTAACGTCAGGGTCGTTCTTGGATTCTGTGAGGTAGATGGCGGGAGCACGCTGCTCAAGCTATCATCAGTTCGGAAGGGGAACCTGTTTTACATCGACGAAAGCTCAAGGTGCATCGAGTCTGTTCGCAGTACCGGTGGCAGATTATGCATGAAGGGCCAGGCTACGGGACAAGAGCGCGTACGATTTGGGGAGATGCTCCAGGTTTGTTTTTACGTCCTTTGGTTGTCTTGTTGACCTCTGGGTAGCCGACTCGCTTAAGCGCCGTCAAGGGGCCTGGGGAGTAACGATCGGTTCTCTCTGCTGCTGGTAAGTATGGTTGAAATTATTAACAGCTTCCGCAGCATAATTAACCCGTGGTAGGGAGCATCTTCAGCCCTTGTTGCGATTCCACCACTACAGTTTGGGAGTGCAAGTGCATGTGCCAGCTGGCCGTACTGTGACTCTGCTGCCGATGGCGCACCGCCCGTTTTCGTCTGACGCGCAGATCGTTCAATCTA